ATATAAACTTGGAAAGCTATTTTAGCAATAGCTTTATATGTTAGCAATGGCATGATCTGCTTGAGCAGGTACAGGATGAGAGAATACTGAAATGTGATTCATAGGAAGAGGTAAACTGCAGAAGTGATTTACTTCTCACAGTCTGTAACTCTCACCAGTTTTAGGAAGTTCATCTGAAGCGCATAAAGACAAAAGCAGACTTTGAGAGCGGGCTGCTGGCCGTATCGTTTGGGCCCTCAATAGGGGAGTGTGGCTCTCTGCTGACCCACCCGAGGCCAGCCTGTCCCACAGGAGCATTGGCACACCCCCAAAATCCCTGGCAGCACCATTTGTGAGCAGGTGCCTCCAAAGGTTCGTGGGGGCAGGGGCTGTTTTTCTTTCTGGAAAGAGGTTGATTTGAGCTCTGGGCAGAACTACGTGTAACAGAGCTGATAAATAAAAGGGAGGCTTTGGCAGGAACCACAGGGCTGTGAGCATCCTTCCTCCCAGATACCACCAGATGCATCCTGCCAGGTCAGGCGTGAAAGGTAGGTGACAGAGCTAATTGTGGGTGTTACCCGGAGAGTGTAGGAAATTTAGGAGGGCAGCCACCCTTCTTCCCTTGAGAGCACATGAATGACAACGTAGTGCTTTATCCTTTCCTGTTATGTATCAGTAGAGGGCTGTTTTGGATCAGAATGCCTGAGTAGGTGGGTGGAGAACTCAACGCTGTGCAAAATAAGGGCTTATTTAACAGAAATAGTTGCAAACACCTAGAGAAAGAAGTGAAGGTAGCAATGTTATTTTTGTATGTGTGTGACCAACCAGCTAGTGTTGCGTGCTAACTGGTGTCAAAGCTGTGGGCTCTGCTTGTACAGAAGTACTTTCTCGGGGTCTTGCATCTAACCTGTGACGGGCGGCTAGATCCCAGCTGCAGTCGCTCAAACACAGGCACAGAACTGAATACTGGGCCACCACTGCCCAGAGTGCCATCAGAGACAACAGTGGCACAGGGGGAAGGCAGCTGGAGATAGCCCCGTTTTGCTCAAAATTCAGACTGGTACTATTTAGTTCTGTTAGGATCTCACATACAGATTCTGAGTAAAGAAACACTATAATACTAAAGTTGCTTCTTTACATTAATGCAATTTTGCATTATATTAATAATTCTTGTGAGTCTTTTTATTCATATGCATATTCAATTATGCAAATGTCAGGACTTATGATTCGTCAGTATGGGTACTACAAAGTTATCCTCTTTTTTTGCTCTGCTTTTGCCCCCAGAAAGGAAACGTCAGGATGAACCAGAATAAAGCAAAACTCGGACTGTTTTAAAACTGGACAGGGATGATCAATAGAAAACACAGGACAAACCCTTGTGTTAGCCAATGACACTAACTGATCTGCTAGGTTTTTTCTCTCTTTTTTACTTTTCTGTCTAAAATTCTTGTTTCATATTATGGAAAAAGGAAGAGCCATTTAGTTTCTTAATATGAAAATATCACATTTTGTTATGCATTTCATTGTCTGATGAAAGAAACATTAGCATAAGAGATAATTACTTGCCATATCAGTTTATCTTGTTACCAGAACCAGTAAAGTTCGCAGCCAATCTCAAAGATTGTTTCTTTTCCAAAATCCTACATACATACTGAATTTTTGCAGCTTCATTATAGAAGACTCCAGAATTGTTAGCTAGTTTTCACTGCTTAATTGTGTTATGCATATTTTCCTGAAAATGAACTGTTTTCAGCCATGGGATATAGCTGTATCTTGCCTCTTCCAATGGGCTTTGTTTGGAGTAGAACAGGGTAGCTACTGCTATATATGACTATATATTTACACCAGTGCTGCCTGTTTAGATCGCAGTCCAATAGGATTAAAGTTAATGCAAAATTCTATTACTTCTGAACTGATTTTGGATTGGGGATATATTACAGATTTTCATTCTTTTATGTGGCAGGTTTTTATAAAATCCTTTGTAGGGTTTTGGATGTTCAGCTGTATCACAGCAGCCAAAAGTCTTTTGGTTTAATAATCATAAGAATATTTAGCGTTTTCTGTGGGATTGTTCCTCCAATCTCAGTGTTGTACAAATTTAAATGTAGGTACTTCAATAATGCTATGAGGTAGGCTTTTAAATACCAAAGATTTAAAAACTTAATTACATAA